TTCATTCACATTGTGTTATAATAGCTTGATCACATACCTATTGTATTTTATAAAATTAATCACCATATCTTCACTGAGGAGGACATGAAGTTTATGCTGCAGAGGGTCAAGAACTATAGTCTTCAACATGGATTAAAGCTCAACATCAAGAAAACAAAGATTCTCACCATCTTCATGATAGATGACACCTTCATAATAGATGGAAAAAAGATCGAGATTGTTAACAACTTCAGCTTGCTTAGTTCCATAATAAACTTCCTTGGCACCGGAAGTCAGGAAATCAAGAGACAAATTGCACTGGGAATGTCTGCTGTCAAAGACCTCTGTACAGTAGTAAAGAGTAACAATTTCCATCTGGATACCTGGATATTAAGTTGCACCTGATCCAGGCCATGGTCTTCACAATTACTTACTATGAATCAGAGAACTGGACAACGACTAAGGATAACAGAAGAAGAACTGATGCCTTTGAGTTGTGGCACTGGAGGAGAGTCTTGAATATACTATGGACTGCCAGGAGAAAAAACAGGTCAGTCCTGGAGAGAGTGAAACTAAACTGCTCTCTGGATGCAAGGATTTTGAAGTTCCATCTCACATACTTTAGCATGTAGCCAGGAAAGTCCCATCCTTAGGAAAAAAAACACCGTGCTTGGAAGGGTGGAGGGACAGTTCAGGAGAGGAAGATCCAGAATGAGATGGACTGACTCAGTGACTGGAGAAATGGGATTAGTTCTGTCAGAGATGATGAGATTGGCTCAAGACAGAGCAGGGATCAGAGTTGTTGTACATAGGGTCCATATGAGTCACAGGCACTTAGACAGTGCATAACAACAGCAACAACAATTGCCACTGATTTATACTTCCTATATATTTTTTAGCAAACAAATGATATGGTTTAAGATTCTGATATACTAGTTTTTAGGCCTTCTCCTACACTAATCCAATATTGTTAAATAATGACTAATGTTGAAATTATTTCTGACTATACAATTGCAAATGTTATTAATCTCTGATTTCTGTTGTTGTTATTGTTACGTGCTGTCGAGTTCCCTGAGAGTCATAGAGACCCTAAGTACAACAGCCATAACCCTACTCTATCCCTTGTCAATTTCATTGTTTCTGACACACCATCCCCATTACCCCTGTGACTGAATCAATCCGTCTCATTGGGGGTCTTTCTTTCCTGTGTTGTCCCTCCACCCTCCCAAGCATGACATCCCTCTCCAAGGACTGATCTCACCATGCAATATGTCCAAAGTATGCAGAATCGAGCTTCAGAATCCTTGCCTGTAAGGAACAGCCTGGCTTCACTGTCTCCTGGACAAACTTGTATATTCTTCTAGCGGTCCATGGTGTATTCAATACTCTTTTCCAGCACTACAGCTCAAAGGCATCAACTCTCTTTCTATTATCCCTAGTCATTGTCCAGCTCTATGATGCATAGCAAATAATTGCAAAGACAAATCCTGGATCTGTTCGTTGAAATATGTCAATCGGTATGCCATCAGTTCCTGGGGCCTTATTTTTTGCCAATTCTTTCAGAGGAGCTTGAACTTTTCCCTTCATCACCACAGGCTCTTGCTAACCATTGATTCATGAAATTCTTCTATGTCTGCCAATTCCTTTGGAACAATGACACTGTATACTCTTTCCATCTTCTTTTACTGCTTCCTGGATCATTTAATATTCTGTCCAAAGCATCCTTAAGTATTGCAACTCAGGTTTGAATTTGTTCTTCAGTACCTTCCACGTAAGAAATCCTGAGTGAGATCGGTTTTTTTTATTTTCGGACTCCAGCTCCTTGCACGTTTCATTGTTATACTTTACTTTGTCTTCCCGATCTGCCTTCTTAAATTATATAAAACATTTCTCACTAATTCAGTAATTTGCTGCATAACCTTTGAACCATATATTGAGTTTACTCAATATTTTCTCTGACCAAATACAATATTTAAGCATCATTCTTTGATTCCATCTCCACAAGATAGAATTTGTGTCTGAATGGGGGCGGGGTTTATCATTTGAGAAAACTTTTATATACAGGGAAAAATTACAAGGTAAGTTTCATTATAGGTGTTTTAATTATCTAGTGTTTCTTTAACAGAAATACCACAAATGGATTATGTTAACAAACAGAAATATATTCTCTAGCAGTTTAAGAGACCATGAGTTTGAATTCAGGACAACAGCTTTAAGAGAATACTTTCTCTACCTTTAAAGAAGAACTTTTTATTTTCAATATTTGTGGGTCCATGTGCTTCACAAATTGCAATGCATCTTTACAGAACTAAAAGATCTAAGATATATATGAGTAGCTGATATACTTGCTGCAGAAGATCAAGGAAAGTTGCCACCTCATAGATTGCATCTCAATGTCAAGAAAACAAAGATTTTACCACTGGACCGATAGACAAAATCAGAATGGAAGAAGAGGAGATTGTAATTGTCAACAGCTCCAACTTGCTTGGATCCACAATTAACACCCTTGGTACCAGCAGTCAGGAAATAAGGAGACACATTTCATGGGGAAAATCTGTAGCTAGGGACCTCTCCAAATTATTAAGGAGAAATAATTTCAGTTTGAGGATTAAGTACATATGATTCAGATCATAGTATTTCCAATTACTTGTTATACAACTGAGAGGTGAACAACAAATAAGGATTCCAGAAGAAAAATTGGTGGCTTTGAGTTGTGGCATTGGTTCAGAGCACTGAACATGCCATGGAGGGCCAAGAATAAACAGACATATCTTGGGAAGGATGTAGCTAGAGTACTCTTTGGAGGCAAGAATTGCAAGGGTTTGCTTTACAAACTTTGGACATGTTGCTAGGAAGGGCTATTCTTTGGAGAGGAATATGATGCTTGGAAGAGTGGAGGGTTGGTGAAGGAGAAGAAGACTGTCCACCAGGAAGATTGACATAGTAACTGCCACAGTGGGCTGTTATGTGTCAAATGTGAGGATGTGACAGAATAGAATAAAGTTAAGATCTGTTGTTCATAGGGTCACTATGAGTTGTACTAGACTCAACACCACCTAACAACAACAATAACAAACACAAAATATTTTTACTATTTACTCTTTTCAGGAAATAATATATAGTCAATAAAAGGACTTGTTATTAAGAACTTTCAAGTCATAGACGACTCATAGCAATCCTATGAAAGACAAAAAAAAAAAAAACAGAAGAAGAAGAAAGACCTGAACACTTGTATAACTTTCATTGTTTCTCCAAGTTCATTGGGTTTTCAATGGCAGGCTATTTCGGAAGTGGATGCCACTCCTGCTTCCAAGCTTGTTTTAATCAAAGAGCTCCACCAAACACTGTCCACCATGGATAACCATTACTGCATTTGACACATCAGTGTCACAGAGTTCGGCACAGAGCAACCTCGAGTTACCTCTGTACAGCAAATGGACAGACCAGTGCTATGCCACTTAGAAGAATGCTTGACCAGAAACAATTAAAACCAGTCTTGAGGGTTGCAGATTAAAATCACCCACAATTGGCTTGATGGCATCACTTTCTGTCCTCTAGGCCAACTGAGCTCTCTCGTTGTTGTTAAGTGTTGTCAAGTTGTAGAGGACTCATAGCAAACCTATGAACAAAAGACTTGAACGCTTGTATAACTTTCATATTTCTCCAAGTTCATAGACTTTCCAGAGGCAAGCTATTTCTGAAGTGGATGCCATTCCTGCTTCCAAGCTTATTTTAATAGGGAAAATCCACCAAACACTGTCCACCATGGGTACCCATTATTGCATTTGGCATATTAGTGTCACAGTGATGAGCATTACAGCAACCATGAGTTACCTCTGTACAGCAAATGGACAGAAAAGAATGACTGAAGGAAAAAATCCAGGCTTCCGGAAAATATTAGAAAAATAATAGTATATAAAAATTGATGAAATAATAAACAAATATGGCAATAAACATCTATGTCAAGAACCTTGAAAGATAAAAATTGGCCAGCAGACAGCAAAAGGACCATGTCTGTGTCCATTCTTTCCCCTTACCAAAAGATGAATCAAGACAATGGAGGAATTATCAAACAATATCTTTAATATAAGGCACATTGCCATGGGAAAATCTGCTGTTAGGGATCTCTCCAAAGTACTGAAGAGCAATGGTGTCTCTCTGGAGACTAAGGTGAGTCTGATACAGGCCATGGTCTTCACAATCACTTGTTATGCATCAGAGAGTTGGACAATGACCAAGGAGGATAGAAGGAGAATTGATGCCTTTGAACTGTGGTACTGGAGAAGAGTATTGAGAATACCATGGACTGCTAGGAAAACAAACAGATTTGTCCTGGAAAGGGTTAAAGCGGGTGGCTCCTTGGAGGCAAGGATTCTGAAGCTCCATCTAACATACTTTTGACATGTTGTGAGGAGAGACCGGTCCTTAGAGAGGGACATCATGCTTCGGAGGGTGGAGGGACAGCGCAGGAGAGGAAGGCCCTCTATGAGGTGGATTGATTCGGTGACTGGGATAATCGGAATGGGAGTGTCGGAGACAGTGCGATTGGCACAGGACAGAGTGGAGTTTAGGGCTGTTGTACATAGGGTCGCTGTGACTCGCAAGCGACTTGACGGCACCTAACAACAACAACAACAACATCTTTAATATGTTGCTGGTATTAAGTGCCACAGACAAGTGCTACTCATAACTGCCCTATGAACAACAGACCTGGCTGAACCTGTGTAATCCTTATCATGTCTGACACACTTGGGATCATTGCTGCAATCACTGTGTCAGTCCATCTCATTGGGATCATCTCTCTTTAGCACTGACCCTCCACCTTTTCAGACATGTTGTCCCTTTGTAATGAATAGCCTCTCTTAGCAACATGCCCAAGGTAAGAGAAAGAAAGCTTCACAGTCTTTGCTTCCAAGGAGTACTCTGGCTGCACTTTTTCCAAATATGTCTGTTTATTGTTTTGGTAATTAATTGTGAAGTGCCTTTCTCTTGCACCACAACTCAAAATTAATATTTTAGGCAAATAAAAACTTGATGAAGTTATTCAGAAGTTATCGAAACAGTTCAACAACAGGAGCTGGTGGGGAAAAAGCAGCTGGATTCAGAAAAGACTATGGAAGAAAGGATATTTTTGTTGATGTCAGATAGATCTTGGCTAAAAGAAATAAAACCAGAAATATATTTTGAGTTCTGAAGAAATAGATCCTAAGGAGTTGTGACCCCAGAGTCACATCTCTGGCAAAAGAGTTGCCATTCCCTCCCACACGGTTATGGTCTCAGAAAACTCACTGAAAGGCTAGCTATGGCTTGCTTGATTCTCAACTGTCCATGGGTTTGCAAACTTTGAGAGCTGCAGATTTTTTAATGTGCAATAAAATTATATTGTGAAGATCATAATAAATTTTGGGGGGATACTGTCCAAAAAG